AGAAATGTCAATTAGTTTTCGTTAGAGCTGTATATTCGAACTAGCCCAATTCTCCTAGCTTCGGATCACTGAGCAAACGAACTCGCAATCCACATTTAGAAAATATCCGACGGCTGCCGGGCACGGTCTTCGATTTCCTAAATGTGCGGCAGTTTTTAATTTTCGGTGATTTCTCAAGTAAACAGGAGGGTTAGGGTTAGGGGGCCGGCTGCCGGGCATATAGCCACAGCGTAGAAAATTTTCCAACGAACGGGTATCAGGCTGTGCATTGACGTTAGTCGATCATGATCGGGCTACATACATAGCCACCTCAACATGATCGGGCTACATACATAGCCACCTCATCATGTAGCTCTAGTACTAGAGCCACCTCATCATGATCAGAATAATCACTACATAGCAACACAAACAGTGGGAGTACTACTACTACATTAAAAATATTAATAATAATATCTAGTATTACTATTACTAATACTATTAGTAGTTAACTTAGTACTCCCGCCCCCGGCCACTGTCACTATTACTACTAGTACTAATAGTACTATGTACTATGTAGTGTATTATGTGTATTGTGTGTAAGTATGTTATTAATATTCATACTGAGTGAGTAGGTTTATATGACCATCACTCAGTTTACACATTTGTGACAGAAATTACTTAACTTAATTCAGGTGTAGCATATGTATGTTACAATTACTACTACTAGTACTACTACTAGTACTAGTACTAGTACTAGTAGTAGTAGGTACTAGTATTCGGCTCATCTTGTGTTTTTCAGAAGGACCTTACACGATACTCCTACCTCAGTAACTTTGCACCTCTGTGGATATTAACCTTTGAAGTTGGCTGAAGGAGAGAAAGACGCACAATACAACTGAAACAACACCCTACCATGTTTGTTGTTTACTCGAGTAGCGTCGCAATATAAAATTATATACTCACACGTGACACTGCAACGTTTTCGCGAACCAGACCTCGACGTGGAACGCTAGACAGTGCAAGCCAAACAAGGTTGGTAGCGAGATGAGAACCCCTGCCTCGGCATCATCGTTTTTCGAAATATAAAAAATCCGAATCTTGACTGTACTGTACTATGCTGTAACGATTCTGCTGAATCTCAAATCCGATTCCATACCCTTGCGGTGAACCAACCACGGTTTAGAGGTGATAGACTGTCACCCGTCCGTAGGTTACAGTAAATAACTTTTCCTTTAAACAGACATTCAGGCAGTTTCGGCAGCGGGCGCATGCGCGATAATAATGTTATGAACAGGGAGCCAGTCTAACTGTTGGCAAAGAATATTTTTAATGTGCACCATGAAACGCCATATTTATCGCTCTGCGCGTCACCAAACGACTGGTATTATAAGGAATTCGTCTGCAACCTTGATGCTGGCCGCATTTCCACATTTTTTGGTGCAATGATCTATACCAGATTGACAGCAAGGGAATAGAAACATTGACGAGCAATCGCTAATTCAGAACAGTACCTGATTGTACAATAATCATCGATCCATCTCAAGCATTTTCCTATCAACTCCACCTTCTCCATTTATCCACCTCTTTACTTTCTCTTTTTATTACTTTATCCCCTACATGAACACACACACACACACACACACCGCACGCACACACATTAGACAATTATATTATTTTTTATTTTTTTTATTCAATAGTTATATTATTAGTGATAATATTAATATTATTTTTATCATTTTATATGAAATTATATTTCTGATAATTATTTATTATTATTTTTTATATCTTATATTCAGATAGTATACAATAACACACGTGACATAACCACACACACGCGCGCGCACACACACATACAATACATACACACGCATACGCGCACGGGCCACCCCACGCACGTGAGCATACACAGCACGTGAGCGACAGCGCGCAACGCACACGCACGCAGCGCACGCGCATTCACCGCACAACCAACACACACACACACCCACACACACACACACCACACACACACACACACACACCACACACACACACAACACACACACACACACACACCACACACACACACACACACACACACACACACAGACGCGCGTTCGCCGCGAAACTAGCACTGGACCCGCGGCCCCAGGTAATACTTTCTAAGGGTACCAGCCAGCGTATTTTGACGAAAAGAGTTTTAAAGAAAAAACAGCAAATCCACGCCATAAAATTTTTTAAACGTTTCAACCAGTACACTTGCCAGAGAAGGTATAGAGAGAGTCAGAAGGGGCGTGTGCGACGTGCCGGGCACAAATTTGGTCGTCAATATGAAGTGAAGAAGAGGGAAAAGGAAAGCGGTAAAAAAATACGCATGTCGTACGACAAGAGCAGCGGGATGCGAGCGGGAGAGAAAGTAAGGGTGCGTAGGTGTCAGTGGAGCGGATATAAGGACGAAACGAGGGAATTCATGGAGGGAGAAGGTAGAAGCCAGGTGGTAGGGAAGCCGCGACATTTGTTTACTTCACAATGGCATTTCATTTTCCCTTTGGATATCTTCAGTATGTGTTGTAACGACCGCCTCTATTGGCAGACGCAACTTCTGGATGACCTTTCTTGCTTTACTGCTCATGATGATTGTCGCAAGCTGCCAAGAATGACGTCTGCAGCGTAATGCGTCGTATTTTCTGAACGTCCCCAAATAACGCTCGACAGCCAGGCTTACTTGTAGCATCACTGAAATACACAAGTGCCATTATCAGCAAAAAGCGCGCGTGCGAGCTTCAGGTTGAAAACCGTTCACACACATTCGATGCCTTTTACGACGTACAATACGCGCATGTCCTCCTTAGATCCAAGTTACAGATACCGCATTCATTTTTTGGTGTTTTTCTTTAAAGCTACTTGCGAAAACGAAGATCAAGCAGAAAATACTGGTACAGAAGATAAGAAAATATAGAATTGAGTACCTTTAGTTTAAATTTGTATAACGGCGAGATTTAGTTTTACAATATCTTTGTGAAAATGCCCAACAGAGTCGCACTAACGAACGTCTCTTTCAGCTGCGAAATAAAATTGTCTGGATGAAAGGTTATATGATATGTTTTACTCTCTCGCTCATCTCTTTATTGTTTATATAATACGCCGTGGTAGAAAGTGTTAAATTCATCAGCAGTTGCCACTTACAATAACATGTTTCGGTAACAACTATTTTACAGCCCAAGAACAAGTACGATCATGTTGAGTGTATACACGAGTAGCTAACGGACTACAGGGATACATATATTATGTGACATTGTTATAATATAAATAGACGAGCTCCTTGTAGTGGCGAGGCGAAAAGAACCAGGCTGCAGACAAAACGCTGTAAAATACCACGTGACAAACCCAAGGCAGTAGCCTAAATCAACTTCCCCGGCCTTCTTATAACCCCCCTGTAACGTACCATTAAACGTCGTGACGCGGATCGTGACGTACGTTTAGCACCCCACACTTCATGTTTCATAACGTCCGTACCCCGCTTTCTACGAGTACTACTACTACTGACTACTACTTAACTACTACTACTACTAACTACAGTCATACCATGACCGTGGTCTAGTGACGGCCGGGTACTCACTTTTTAACAAGCTATGTTATATGTGCCTTAGAGCAGAGCGATTGCTTTTGTGTACGCACCAAAAGCTGTAGCTCTAGTACTATAGCACCTTACATTTAACTGCCGGCTGGCTGATAGACCGACCCATGGGGCCATCGATGACTAACTTACCCCGATTATACCCGACTATAAAACGTCATGTGTAGCAATAATGCCTCTTATCCGAAGGAATAGTGGCTTAAGTTATAGCCTGCTACTAAAATTGTAACCCTAACTATCGTTGCCAATGAGTTACTTGCCGGTATTTCTGTGACAAACATTCGATTGCGGAACTGTCCAAGTGACGGCCCATTATCTGGCGGCCGCCTGCGACAGGCCCAGTCAGCCGGCGAACTATGTATTTCCGCGGTGGAGGGGTGGGCGGGTGTTGGCGGTGGTTGTGGACAAAACATTGTTGGTCGTCAAAGTAACAAATTTACGCGACGATCAAAAGAGATGGTAATACTAGTTTGTGTCATGAAAGATAACAACATTATATTATTAATTGTGTTAATCTTAGAACCAAAACAACAATTTTTTCCACAACCAAAACACAACCAGCCCACCCCTCCACATGCGGAAATACATAGTTCCCGCTGACTGGCTGGAGTAAGTTGGTCCATCGCATGCCCCATGGGTCGGTCTATAGCCCAGCGGCAGTTAATGTAAGCGGCTATAGTACTAGAGCTAACCAAAAGCATGATTCAATATAGTAAAACTATAGCCTAGAGGTATTATAACGAGGCATGTCCGAGGAGGTTGTACCCCAATTGATGTCATACACAGCCTTAGTACACACAGGCACTTGGAGTTATTCAATAAAATATCATGCTAAATAAATACGAAATCTATTTACTACCAAAGTCTTAATGTTTCTCTACTCTCTATATTTATGTGTCAGTGTGCATGCAGCAGCGTGCGGCAGCCAGCATGTGTTGCAGATGAGCGTTTGGACGGCATTTACAAGAAATTGTCGGGAATAATAGGTGAAAGAGAGTAGAGAAACATTAAGACTTTGGTAGTAAATAGATTTCGTATTTATTTAGCATTATATTTTATTGAAACGCTCCAAGTGCCTGTGCTAGTACACATGTAAAAGCTATCATTTTGGAGATGTTTAGTACTAATAACACTAGCACTACTGAGTGTAACCAAGTGTTGAACTGCAGATACAGAGCTTGGACGTATTTGTATATAATGTCTGTGCGAATCCCTACACACTGCATATGTAACTAGACAGAATTCACTCACAGAGAGTGCATACCTCCGCCAGCGACATACGCCATACGCCATACGACTCACGAACACATGAATAACCCACGATATACGCCAGCGCACTGACATGTACACGCTGGCTTGCTGCTCGCTCGCTCGTAGCAGCCGCTCGTTGCTGCTGCTCGCTCACATGTACACGCTTGCTGGCTTGCTGCCCACTCGCTCGTAGCAGCCGCTCGTTGCTGCTGCTCGCTCACATGTACACGCTCGCTGGCTGACGCGCTAATATCGATCGCGCGAACACACGAACACACGCACACGAGACCGAAAACATAACCTCCTCCAACTTCGTTGGGCGTAGGTAATGACAATGACATATCCTCTCAGGACTAGCTTACAGTACAGATCAAAGCTGACCTGCATGGCTTGTTGGTTTTTGTTAATGGCAGGGTTTTAGCTGGGTAACTGTGTCTATTGGTAGCAGTCTCCATCCATCTATATAGCCGTGCTGTTTATTATTAATTTACACTTATGCAGCGCGTATATATGAGTATCAGAATAATGCAATGATACTGATAGCTATGCGTATTATGTGGCAGTCGTAAGTACTCTAATCATTATGCGCTTGCCTTCCTGCATGTCAATGGTCCATGATTCATTCCTTTACGAGTGACTTTCGTTGATGGGTGCTCTGTGTATGGTAGTAGATGCCTTTATTGGCTGCTGTGGTTACTAAGGCTACTGGATGCAGAGCTAGTAGTGGTGATGTGAGTTTAACTGTGTCGGGATGCTACCGGTATCCTGTGCATCAATCTCTGTGAGACGTAACCGCCATTTTTATACGTTTTTTACTCTTGTGGTGAACTCAAGTGTGTATGTGTGTGCGTACAGGCGTGTACGTGTGCTTAGCATATATGCATGTAATCGTATCTGTGCATGTAGGAATGTGTATATCTATGTAGCATATGCTCGAGTGCAAGTGTAATAGACAGACGGGCCTGCCGGGTGCATGTTTGGAAAAGTAAATAATTCACGGGGTTGTCTAAAAATATTTGCTCCAAATCTATATTACAGTATTAAAAATTTATAAAATGCATAAAAGCTGAGTAATTTTGATTTGAAGGTATACTCTTGATGATTAATCTAACCTTCAATTGGGGCACGTTAGTTAAGTGTTCGCACATTGCTCGTAAGCTCACTGTTTAGAATTGTACTACTGTGCACTGTAAAACTTTGCTAGCAACACGCTAAATTAAGTAATGCTACCAAGCCGTAAATATAAATATACCATAACAAATGTGGCAATAGCTCAATGGCTCGTTGGTTATATAATAGTTTGTAAATTTTAACAACATTTAATCCGTAAGGTCATGTTGTTAACTTGTATACTTTCTATTGTACTATCATAGTATGATCCTCTGTAAAACCTGGGGTGTGAAATATACTAAAATGTTTTCTGAAGTTACTTATTTCTATCATAGTGTTTGACGCATATGATATCTCAACTTATGTGAGATAAAACTCTTTTGTACGTTGCAAGTGGGTTTTGTACGGTAAGTGACGCCAGCAGCACTAGATGCAAACACTATGCCCTGCTGTGTTACGTATAGTGTGCGTGGTCATACGCATGCTTATATTTACATTGTGCATAGTTGCACTTTGTACTTTCAAGCATTGTACTCGTTGAAAAAAAATTGAATAGAATTTTACTATAATATATAGCTTCTGTTTGATGTAAAACCTGCTACAGCATACCTTACTTGTGACTATGCGCAAGTTTATATTTTGTCTTTTTGTGTTCGTCATAGGTAATGTGAATTAAATCTTTCATATAGGTTAGGAAGAGAATTTCGTCATGTTATCAGGGAACCCGATAATTGTCAACATGTCTGTCGAAACAAAAAATGACGGGAAAGCTTGGACATGGATAACAGACAGGTAGGATTTTACTGTTGTTTTTAACTTGGTTCTACATTGTATTATGAGTATGTAGGTATTATACCTGTATAATGATACTAGTTTGACATGTTTCATATCATGTTATCTGGAGTGTCATCAAGAAGGTGGTGTTAATATACATAATGCAATGTTGTTGTACATAAATGCACGCATTGTTAACAATAAAAACAATCTTGTTTCGATTCACTCCTGACATTATATATATTATATATAAATATATAATCGTATATTGTATCAAGAACACATGTGCCCTGGATTTGTGTGTTCTTGTTTGTATATATGTGCATGTACGTGCGTGTATGCGTGCGTGCACGTGTGTGCGTGCGTGCGCGTGCGTTCGTGCGTGTATATACTGACTGGACACTATAAAATATCCATGGTTGGGTGGCATGAGATGTAGTATGAACGCTATTTTCTGCCAGGATCCCAATAGACGAAGTTGAACATGCGTTCTTCCAATGTTAAACACTATTCGAGGGTATTTGCGTAATAAATAGTACACATAGGCCGTATATATTTACATACGGGGAGGGGTGGTAGAGGTGCAGCAGTCGTACGGGCGTCTGTGTTACATGTCGATACAATGCAGTTGTTGGTTACGTGGTTGCACCGCAGCAGCAGTATTAGTTGGAGTCGGTCATGCGTGGCTGCTGTCATCGCATCGATTTTCGACTCTGTGTCCGATTCTATGCGCGGGCACCTCGATTCCTAGCGAACAGAACGTGCATTGTTGATGAATAGGGTCCGATTAGTGAGCGGTTTTAGTTGCTGTCTGTTCTGTGAGGGAGCTGGCCCTGCTGGTGCCGGTGATGCACCCATGCTCCCTAGCCTGTGTTTTATTTGAGGCAATAGCGAAGAATTTCGCAAATAAAGTGAAATTGCTTGATGTCGTTGCCCTCTGTATAATATTCATTGTGTTCTTGTAGCGTTGACACCCGCCGCTGTTCATGTTGTATTCAGCATGTTGTGCTCATGTTTTGCGGTGATTTCCAAGACAGTTACGTATATTCCCTGGGAGCCGCTTAGCTGCACGGGGTTTTACTGTAGCGTGAATATGGCGTGACTCCGCAATGCGTGCGAAGCTTTCCAATCTTAGTAAAAGCCGCGTCTGGCAGTGGATGCAAAGATAGTTGCTGCAAAATACTATAGGTTTATTGTCTTCTACACGCACGCACGCACGCACGCACACACATGCACGTATGTACGCACGCACGCACGCACACACATGTATGCGTATACATGTATGTATGCGTGTGCGTGTGCATGTGTTTTATCGTTGTGTTTGTACCTGCCTGCAAACATATCTGTACATGAACTCTGGCAGCATGTTCCCCCACGGTCCCACCTGTTTACATCCTATCCACACTGGAGTTGCTTATCCCATATCTGTTCACTAGACAGAATCGTATATCCCACAACCCTTACCTTTGTCTGCTCACTCTACTGCTGTTTATAACCTGTCTGTTTATCCCACACGTGCTTTCCCACCGTTTATTCATTTTATAGCTACTATTCCTGCTTAGCTTACCAATGCTTATCAGGCTGCGTGCGCATTCCACATCTGGTTGCATATTACAAGCACGCTGCTTGTGAATCGGGAAGCTCCTCTTGTTCCAACACAGGAGCGTAGCACCCCTGTAGCACTGTGGATGGATGGGTACATATGTTATACGCATAGTAACGGCTCCATCTATGATGATTCGCATTGGATTGGCACGTGTGTTTTTGGTTTGTTTTCTGCACTAGAGTAGATCGTACAAATCCTGAGCACACTTAATGATCGGATTAGATGAGGAAACTAGATGGGTAATAAACTTGTTCAGACCCGCATGGTGATGCTGCTGGTCTAGGTTAGCTCATGTCACTATTGATGTCAATGCTACGGATGGACAGTGGATTTATTGTCATACATCCGTCTGCATATTCGTGCTTCAATAAGCTTCAGTCTATTGCTGCTTGTCCAGAGACAATTGAGTAGGGGTAGTGGAAGTCTAGAATGGTTATGTGTGCCCATATGGCATCGTAGTGATAAATAGATGTGTGTTTATAAGAACTGCAGTTCAACATCATCTGATAGTTTAGGTGTGACACGGGGAGAAAATAGCGTGACGAGATAGACGTTTCAGTAGCTGTAGACGGCGGTCGACATGTATGTGGTTTGTCTGGCGTCTTGTGACAACACGTGCGATTTGTTACCCGACTCATAGCAGGCTCCAGGCCAAAAAGACGGATGCCTGGCCGCAAAAGAAAAAAATATTTAGGGCCGCATTCTAAAACGCGTGTGGTGTGCAGTACAGAGTGATGTGCAGTACAGAGAGATGTGCAGGGTAACATTGAAACCAGCTGCAGCGTTTTGCAGGTGATGATGCATCGTTGAAACTCGCGGTTTCGCCTGTCCTGTGACTCACAGGGCGGGAGAAACCACGCTGCGCCCAGGCATCAGTGTGAAACGATGTGTGAAACGAACAGTGTGAACACGCCAGCAGCCGCGTGTATATTTTGACGGACCTACTCTCTGGTCTAATCGCCAACCGTTACGGAAGCCAGACGTGCGTATGCCGCTCTTGCACACAAGCCTCAATACATGATAACGTGAATATACTAAAAATAAATAGTAAAGAGATTTATATACAACGTATATTTGTGTAAAACATACAATTATGTACAATTTATATGTATGTAAAAGATACAATTATGTACAATGTATACGTATGTAAAAGATACAATTATGTACAATGTATACGTATGTAAAAGATACAATTATGTACAATGTATATGTATGTAAAAAGATACAATTATGTACAATGCATATGTATGTAAAAGGTAAAGACGTATATTATTGTGATCGAAGTCTTTGAATAGTTGTGATTCGGCGGGGGAAGACATGTCATGTTTGCGAAAACTGTCCAATCACCGATTCGTAGACGCGTATGTTCACCACGAGTTTGAGATCCCCCTCCTCCGCCTTCCAGCCACAGATGTCTCTCGTAGTGAGGTCACCGTACCCGATGTTGTCGACAGAAAGTTTTGAAATGTTTACGCGTATCTGCCGCTGAACGCACGTTGCTTGTTTGTGCTGATGAGAAGTAGAAATTGAGCGTTAGTGATTTATACCGTCCACACACGCTACAGGGGGGGCCACTCTCTTAATCCTGCTGGTACTGATCGACAGAGGTTTCTGTGCCGCTAGGGGAATAGCATGGAGTTGCTCTCACAACACTCGCCTATACCTGCTCGTGACGGCGTATGCGTGCACGCGCGTGGATTATAATACAAAAACATGGATCTCCGATTGTCGCTATGAGTGTCCGTGTGAACGAGTGTCGCGCCACCTATTATTCATACGCGTGAAGTTGTCAGTATTTCTCAAGCGGTGATCGCGTGTGCTGTCCTCGCCCGAGGGGAGAACGAGGGCAAGAGAGAGGGAGAGAGAGAGACATCGATTTTTTGGATGATTTTTGTGAACTGCCGGTGTTGATTATCTTCTGCGCGTGCGAGCCAGCAGCAGCATCAGTGTGGTGAGGTGAAGCCATGGTGTGAGCGGCGTGTCTAGCTAGCTAGCTGCGTGTGGCTTCCTCACACCTCATCTCGCTCGCTGTAGCAGCAGTAGCTCCAAGAAACGGTATTGCTAGGGTTAGAATACCCTATACTACCTCTTGTATAGACAATCCGTCGCACAGCCTGGTCGGGCTATAGCAGCAGCAGCATGCAGCAGCAGATGCTGATGATGAGGCCAGGCACCCACCTCGTGAGGGGCGTGCGAGTCAAGTGCGAAACCAAGTCTACTAAAACTCCTCTACTAACACTCGAATTCGCACGTCAGACTGACATGTTTTACAACAGAACAATATGACTCGATGAGAAAAAAATATATCGGGGATAGGGATGCGCAGTCGTTTCTAAAATTTGGAATTTGTTTAGATACAAGTACATGGCACAGGTGTCCTTGTTTCAGACATGGCTCTGTGATACATTTACGTGCAGTTATATGGTTAATCCAAAAGGTAGGCGGTAGGCGTGTTTCTGGACACAGAATGAAAGTCTGATGAGTCTGGTTAGAAATGAAAACAACGCATGTTTATTTTAAATTATTAGAGAAAGTTAGCAACTTGTTATGGTTACTGAAACTTGTCCTGGCGTATATTAAACAATCCTACACCTCCGCCCCAGCTGAGCTGAGAACCCGTGTAATATATACCATAAGAGGGAAATACGAAATCACAAGGCGGTGTATGATACATCTAGGGATTGGGGGGTCCTAGAATTTTTAAATTTCGTTTATACGCGAGGTTCGTCACCGAAAATAGAGCTGGTCGTGGAACCGCAAACAGACACTCTATTTTGTTTCGCCCAACCAGCGTATATCGCGTCCCCTTCTAACCTTCACATACGTAACGTTTATTCCCCACATGGATAAAACGTAGAATAGAACGTTAGAACATTGAGCATATTCACGCTCGTAAGTATACGTATAGCGATTTATTATAACTCGTAACCTTCCTTCTGAGTAATTATTAGCTAGTAATCTTGTGGTGAAACCACCGTATCGTCTGCCGATTCTGTGAATTCTCCGGCAGTGCGGGACTGCAGGTAATGCGTCTATTGCAGTTACGTCCATCTCTAAATACGTGTACGAGGCAATCCATGTCTGACGTGCCCCCACGTGGAGTGTGCTGCATGCCAATACAGTACTACGCACCCATAGAAATAATATAGATAGACGGATAATATAAGATAGATATAGTTAGATGGTTATCTATATTATTTCTATGTACGCACCCCTTCTTCGCCTCCTGCACTGCTTATACCTGCTATAATAAAACTGCGGCCCCGCTCTGTCTCAGGCATGTGATTTATTGTAACATCATGGAATATATAAACAGTTTGAGGTAGCGGTGGCTTCCTCTAGTGGCATCTCATAGAGCTCTAGTCTCTGTAACCCTCTTATAACGTTATAGTACTTTCAGACTAACGGTCCG